TTTAATATTAAAAAATAGAATTTTTAACTAAGCTAATATTATAAGTGCTTCAATCAAGTGTGAAATCGTCTTGAATGGATTTGAAATGATTATATGTCATTGTGTTTATATTCAGAGCAAATGCTCATATATCGAAAGATTTTATTATTGAAATACATTAAAACTAGGTGATAGTCTATTCGCATGCCAAAAGATAATCCAGATTAAATTTGGATACACACGAAATTTTTTTGATAACAATAAACAATCAACTGTTAAATTTGTATTCACATGCTATTTTTGCTAATTATTGTAGGCAAACAATTAATAATCCAAAATATCGTAACATAATAACAAATGATTAGATGATAATCAGATTAATTTCGTTAGACCAGGAACAGAAATGCTGAAGAACAAGGAACAAGAAAGAAAATCTATTCTTCAAGTAAACACTAAACAGGTTTGAAAATAACATACACATAGACATAATTAACAATTGAATAATAATCAGCAAGCAATCGTGATTAAGTCCTGTCATGTGAATAGACGAAAATAAAATTGAATTTCAATTATTTATTATAATTACAATGTTATATTTTTAAATTTTTTTAAAGTGTATTTTAATTTACATTTTTTATCTTAACCCATGGCAGTGCTGTTAGAATGAACTCTACAAAATTCACTTCGATTTTTGCTTAGGTGATAAAATAAGTGTTTTGGCGTAGATATGAATTGTAACTACACTCCAATTATAGAATTGAATTTCAATTGTTTATTATAATTATAATTTTATATTTTTAAATTGTTTTTAAGTGTAGATTTTAATTTACATCTTTAATCTTAACCCATGGCAGTGCTGTTAGAATATACTCTATGTAATCCACATAGATTTTTGCTTTAGAACTTAGATGATGAAGTGTTTTGGCATAAATATGAATTGTAACTACGCTGCCATTATTGGAATTGTGATTAAGTCTTGCCATGTGAATAGACGAAAATAGAATTGAATTTCAATTTTTTTTTTTAATTATAATTTTATAATTTAAAATTTTTTTTAACTATAAATTTAAATTTACATCTTTAATCTTGATCCATTTTTCCGTTAGAACTTAGGTGATGTAAGTGTAGATGTGAATTGTAACTGCACTTCAAATATTGCAATTTGTTTTTCTCAGAACCTAAAAGAATTACATATTAACAGACAAATATTAACAAAGAAATGAATGTTGGTGAATTGATATGACTTATATTGGTCAAGAGTAACATAAATCAAATGTACACTTTACACCAAATGTAAAATATTTAACATTTTACTGCATGTCTGTTAATTAAATTTATATTTTCGTATAAAAATATTTTTATTACAATTTTATTAGCATTTTTTAAATAACTTTAGATGTATTCTCACAATTATATGTTTATTTAGAAATTCTTTAATATTAGCATCATTAAAATATTTTTATGTTAGTGTACTAAATATCTACGTCAAACATTATTTTTCCGTCTTCTACGAGAAAAATACCTAATAATTAATTAGATAACAAATTTAAAGCATGAGAAGCTTTTTCTTGACTAAAAATTAAATTGCATACGTTTTTAAATTTTTCAAAATACTTTGAATTTAAATTTAGACCAGAATTTTTATAATATTATTAAATTTACAAAATAGCGTAACCTTCAAATTCCACGCTTTCAAGAATGTGCTACACAAATACCGAGAATGCTGTTGTTGCAAAATTCGCAAAATTTCAAACTATGCCAAAAGCATACGGTACAGTACAGCAAAAAATAAAATCTCTTAAAGAATTTTTTAAAGTGTCAAAATGACATACTCACGAATAAACGAATAAACGCTTAAACGACAGTGCGCATACAAATACGAGTACTGACATTTACAGATAAAATGTGTGATTTTTTAAGTGTAGTACCTGCTCGTGCACGCGTAATTCACATATTCAGAAAAGTCGAACTGCTATGCATGTGATATGACTGCAATCTCGCGGCAGCTGTTGTCATTGAAACCAACATTGTTGACAGCAAAGTGCAGTGCTGTGTTTGGGGGCGGCAACGGATCGGCGGTGGCGGCAGTGTTGTTCATTCGTCAGGGTCAACGTTAAGGTTCAACATATAACAAATTATATTATCAACACATGAATATAATTAAAAAAGAGGAAAATTAACACACTGAAAAAAAGTTCTCCACAAGAACAGACAGAGTACACAGCGTTCTCAGTAACCGCACATGCTGCTGAGTTCGTGTAGGTGTCAAGACTATAAAGTTAATGTAAGCCGAGTTGTCTGCGGGCTGAACGTGGCTTTACAATTAAAGAATTGGTCACTTGTTTCAGTGAAATGTTGTAGAATTTATTTGTCAATTTTATAACTGAAATTATTCTAAACCTGGCTTCATGTTTTTCTATAAATACATTATTTTATTAGTTTATCCCACTCTAATTCTATTTTAGATCTGAGTTTTAGTTGGCGTACTGTTAATTGTAATAAAATAAGTCGTAATACCTTATTACAGAAAGAGAAACTTTCAATTCTCGTATTTTATTTTAAACCAAATATATTCGAAAAACATCAACACATTTCTATATACAGTAATCCCTCCTATAACGCGGTAGATTGGTTCCGCGTTATAGGAAAACACGTTATAATGGTATCCCCGTATACCCCGTATACACACATGCAAAGGTACGTGAAAGTAATTATGAAATATACAAATCCCCGCGTTAAATGGGGGAATGCCCGTTTTATATGGGGGATTGAAATCGCGTAATATGAAAACGCGTTATAAGGAAACCGCGTTATAGGGAGGAGTACTGTACTCATATACCTAAACGGTTGATTGTATTGCAGACTTTTCATATGTTGTTTTGTTTCTTATTTCGTTGAATAATACGTAGATACATTTAAGTTGAGCACAGTTAAAGAAGTAAAAGCGTATTACATATCTTTTAAGAGCTTATCCCACTCTAATTCTAATTTAGATCCAAATTACAGTTGGTGTACTGATAATTATAATAATAAGTCGTAATACCTTATTACAGAAATAGAAATTTTTAATCTTGAAAATACAAGAACTATATATATGGTAACTAAAATAATTTGAAACAACAACGATTCTGTCTGGTATAATGTGTTAGGTTGTTTGCATATGCAAAAATCATAGTGAATGGTGAGAATTACTGTAAAACGAATATAGGAAATAGCGGTTTGATTATAGGAATAGGAATCGATTATAGGCGTATTATTATTATTATTGCAACCAGCAAAAGAAATTGTTTTCCTTACCCACCTGCTAAATGTCGTAAAATCAAACATATTTATACTTCTACAATGCAATAAAAGATATTACAAATGTGATATGATACTTAGCTTAAAGCTAAAGATCTAAATATTATAGGAAATATTTAATGGGAAAAACGCCAAGAGATGTTAGATCATATCCCCCAATAAGTCTATTTTAGCGGCTATTAAAATTCATAGAAATTCTATTCCTTTAACCTATCACACCAATTAACAAACCAAGTAAATTAATTACCAATTCGGTTACCACCAAAAGTATAGTACTATGGAGCAAATCAATAGACAAATTAGACATATTCAAACATCATATATTTTATTTTTAGATGTGCAGGTTTTGTCTAAAACGAAACAACATTTTACTTGATTGAATATGGTACTGAGATTACACAACTTTATAGCATTGAATCTGGTGTGCCTTAGGGCATTTTTGGACCAATGCTTTATCTCTTGAATACAGCCTTCATGAATTGGAAAGGCACATTTGTGAACGATGCAGTAGTTTTATCGATTATAAATAACCCAAGAAAAGCATCTACAAAACTACAGACATACGTTAACTACGTCTCACTGTGAATAAAAGACAGCAAATCAATCAAATCAAATTGAGTAACCATATTTACTATTAGACAATATCTCTGCCTATCTGTATCATTAAATTCTACTCAACTACTTCGGACTGAAAAGACAAAGTTTTTAGAAAATTACCTAGATAATTGACCTGGAGAACTTATTGTCAAAGAAGGAAACTCAAGCTGTGAAACTTGTTTTGATTTCTAAGTTGAAATACTAAACTGCTTCTGATATATAATAGTGAGCTGAAACTCATCTAGAGTTATGGACTACAGATATGCGGGACTGAGAAAAATATAACATGCATCTTCTTGAAATAAATGATTTGTGTACACTATAACACGAGAATACATATGTATTTGTCACTGGACACAGCCATTGTATGTGTTTTTTATTTAATCAATTAAAAATAATTACTTATTGTCAAATAAAATTGGGCTGATTGTAATAAAATGGATTCAAAGAAACCTTTAAATACATTGTTGAGATCCATGTGGCCGCTGTTAGATTATATTTTATATTTTGAATATTTGTTGAAACTACTTTCTATCAACATTGATTTTCTGATCGAATTCATTATTTGTTATGATTAATATTTAATATTAAATATATATCTCTATTCTCAGATACGATTTGATTATAATAGAAAAATAAGTAAGAAATTCATTTAGTCTTAAAAGCGTAGATAAACACAAAAATTTTTTAACAAATTAAAAATGCATTTATTAAATCCTTTTCATCTTTTTCTAATCTCTTTACAGATTCTTAAAACTGCAGATGGAAATATAAAAAAAAAATTTTGAAATAACAAAATCAATACGAGAAATATTTGTGGAATTTAGCGTAAATTTTTGTATTTTTGTGTGCAAATCAACTTCAATCGAAATAATAAAAGAAAAAATTTATGTAAATAAAATTTCGTATCTAAAAATCAGAATATTTGAATGCTATGCACCGAAACGAATCAATTCAAACAAGGTCATATTAATCTGCAGCGCTTTGATTTATAATTTATTGATATTTATTCAAATTGATTTCTTTTAAATAATTAAACAGGAAAATAGTGCCAAAAATTTAATATCATTGAGAGTAATTTAAAAAATGTTTGAAATATTTTGAAACGGTTAATTTAAGCAACAGCAAAAAAATTTATCTGAAGTTTTACTCTGAGGAAATAATTATTTTTATTGGAAAAAAATTTATTTTTGCAAGTCATCAAAATGGCAATTATAATCAACAAAAACCGCATCATCATAAATATCATCCTCGTGTCCGTTTTATTAGTCCTTTTGACATCTACTGTGGATTCTTCAATAGCCTCACGTAAGTTCCAAATAATTTTTTTTATAAATTTAATAAAAAATATAATTTATCAAGTCTTTAAAGTTTAATTATGTAGTATAAAATCAGACAAAATACACATGTTATTTATTTGTTATTAATTTTTTAATTTTTATTTTTTTTATAAAAAATTTTATTGTGGGTGTCGCTATCTTTTGCGTTTCTTCTTAAGAAAATAAATAGAATTTCTCATGCTCATAAAAAACATTTACTTTAAAATCACTTAATAATCGCAAGAATAAGTTTTTATAATGACGCAAAATTATTTTATTAATGGCACTAAAATTTAATATATTTAAATTCTTAGAATTATAAAAAATAGGTGTTGAAATATATTGACTTCCTAAATAAATTAAGTACCTAATTTGAATATCTTGATATCTAATTGAATATATATTGATTTTCTGAAACATAATTACTCATTGATTATATTATTGTACTTAGTAAGAGAATTAACTAAGTTTTATAAATATTGGAACGTGAGAAATTATTTAATAAATGTTAATTGAATTTTTAATTCACAAATTACTGACACCAGGACTAGTTACTTTTATTTGCTTTATAGACACAAGGAATATTCGTATAATTTTGAAATGCGCTTTGTTTCGTCGATTTATCTATAACTATTATTTTTACTCTACTGGTAATAAGAGCAAAAAAGTTATTCTTTCCTTGCTGACACTGTGTCCCACCACCGAGATTTTTTTTGTACAAACAAATGTTTAAGAGATCCCAAATCCATCGATATTATACATTGTGACCGAAAAGTTTCCGGAAATAAATAAATAAAACGCAAAATTCTTAATCTTCATCAATATTTATTTTATCTCCTTCAAAATATGCTCCATTAGAAGCGATACACAAATGCCAACGTTTCTTCCAATCATCAAAACATTTTTTATAGGCGCTTTCCGGTATGGCTTTGAGTTCCCTCTGCGAATTCTGTTTTACGTCTTCTATGGATTCAAAACGCGTTCCTCTGAGTGGTAATTTGAGGTTGGGAAACAGGAAAAAGTCACACGGTGCAAGATCAGGTGAATACGGTGGCTGTTCGATGGTATTTATTGAATGTTTGGCCTTAAAATCGTTGATAATGTTGAACAAATTGAGGTGAATCGGAACAAGCCGGGCGTTGACACGTCGCATACACAAATTGTCCACCAAAATCAAACGAGCCATCTCACGACCGATGCCTAGCTCTCGTGCTATCTCTCTAACACTCACATGAGGATTTTTGAACACGATTTCCTTTGCCTTTTCAATGTTTTCGTCGGTGGTAGAGGTCGAAGGTCGTCCAGAACGCGGCATGTCTTCGACGGTCGTACGACAGTCCTGAAAGGCTTTGTACCACTCATAAACTTGAGTTTTCGATAAAACTGATTCCCCATAAGCCTTTTGTAGCATTCGCAACGATTCTGCACACGAAATTTCGTTCGAAAAACAAAATTTGATGCAAACTCTTTGTTCAATATTTTTTTCCATTGTTTTTTTCGCAACGCACTACTGAGGTGAACTGGTTTCAACAGCTGCCGTAAACGAACTGTCTGACAGATCGCGCTCATTTTTGGCATAGTAATTGTCCTTAAGTGCTGCCAAACTACATAAACTTAAAATATCGAAAAATATACAGCGCGCGAATTTTAAATGAGAATTTCCGAAAGCTTTTCGGTCACAATGTATACATTTTTTTTCGATAATTCTTTCATTTTATTTGCATAAAAATTGAGCAGTGGAATCTGTCTTAATAAGCAATTTTATTTTAAGATATCTGATATAATGTGGCTTTAAAGAGCACCACATAACATGACTAATGGTGGACTTACACTACCATTAGTAGTGGATTTTTTCTAGATTTCACAATGGAATAACGAGACCTTTACCTTTGACATTTTAAATATAATTTATAACCTTTTACTCGTTTGATTTCCAATTCATTTATCTAATGCTCTTTCCATTTTTTTGAACTTAAAAGGTTTCCTTTTGTTCCAGAGAATCGAATTCAGAACTTGAACGCGAACTACGTCCTGAACTTTCATATAGCGTGTTCCTTTCTCTTAAAACGAATTGTTGTTACTCTATACACATGAAAACTGCTTAGAAAATCTTACAAAAAATTTTTTTATAATACTAATTTTAATACTTAGTTCAAAACAGATTCAATTCATCTGAAATTGTACTTCCCCGAACTTTATTTAGTCAATTCACGGACTTAAATATTTTTTTATGCTGTATGTATCGAGTTGTAGAAGTAATGAGAATGTGCAAGAATCGAGTTATTACTGTATTTAAAAGTATGATTTCCAATCACATATTTTATGCCAGGAACATTTATAACTTTATGATAGATTCGAATTCGGTTGGTAACAAACCAGATGACCTGCAAAATTAATTTTTAAATTTCTGATAGAAATCGTTGTAGTATTTCCACATAAGAGGAACTAGCTCTACTCAATAACTATATTCTATATGTTTAATTTTCTGCTGCGATCATTTATTATAAGAGAAAAAACTTGTAGTGTTTTATTTTAAATTAAAACAACAAATTGTCCTATTTGGTTAATCTACTAGTCTACGCACTTTTACAGCAATTAATTTTTAGCAATACTGAAATAAAATCTTTTTTTATTTTTTATAACTGAAATGCATCAAATATTAAAAGAAGATTATTTCAATCTGAAGGTATATTTCTTTAGAATATTATTTATTTTTATACAATGTAGTAGTATGAGCATATGTATATAAATATTTATAAGTAGAATTTAAGCATTCTCTTAATAAAAAATGTTGATGTTCAATATAGTCAGATTTAATTAATAATAAACCCTACATTAATCAGTATTATTATAGTAATTACTTCAAATGTACTTTCATTATCGAAAGTCAGCAATACTCCGTATGTAGATAGAAGTAATATTATATAAAGCATATGCAATATTAAAAAATAGGTTTCTTTAATATATGTATAAAATATCAATTGATATCTGCTGTTTCCTTCACAACAAAATATATATGTAATGGGTTCAAGTAGAGAAAAACAATGATCCAACAACAAACTATATAGTAAACCCGATTTAAGCTTTTGTTATGTTATGTTAAGCCTTTTCCGAGTTAGTGCATCTGGGCACTTTTACTCTATGATCGCTGGGGGGATTCTCCATAGTCCCGCCCATCTCACTGACTAATTTGAGTATTCCTGATAATCTTCATGATTATTCAATGATTGATCTAAGATATGCGTACCGCCCTGTGCGGTTAGTGATTACTCTGAGATTGAAAGTGCTAAGTAGGGCAGCCTGTCGGTTTTCGCATAAAGCTTCAGAGCTCTGTCCCTTATGTATTTTTTGACCGGATCTATTCTAAGGTCTCTTAGCATGTCATTCGTGCGGATGTACCATGGCACTTTGAAGAGCCTTCGGAGAGCCTGACTTTGAGCTTCTGTTTAACATGTAATTTTTTTTTTTTGTAGTCACCTTTCTTAATGGAATAGACTATATATTTGTTTATAAAATAAATATTAAATTTATATCTTACATATTATATAAATTCAGGGATAGTATAGTCTCCATAAAAATCAATATTTATTGTTTTTCATTTAAATAACACACAAACCGCAAGAAATTATATTATAAATTAGTTTCATTAAAAATTATCATAAATTTCTTACGTTATCTAAACTTTTTAGTAAAACTTTTTATAGTTCATTAATATATACTGTAATATAATTTATTAAAATATTTTGTAGGTAAATGTTTTAATGTTGAACTGAATATTTTCTCCATAAATTAAATTCCCAAGACTTTACACATTGTAACAACCTTTAAAAACATAAAGAAAAAAATTTATATTTTACTTCAATAAAATGTAAAAATAGCAACATTTAAAGCCACCCACCTATCATTCAACGGTATATGACTTTTAATAAAAACTGAAGAAAAAGAAAATGTTCAAAGTTATAAATTTTGAAATAAAAAAAGACATTTAAAACATTTCATTTCATTTCATTTAGTTTCATTGTAGTTCTACAATATCATAAAATATTGCACTTAGACGAATGTATTTCAGCGCTTCTAGGTATATGACAGGAGCATTTCTGTGAATACTTTTTTATATTAAATGCAACTAGTCATTTTGATATATAAAAATGTAAGATATAAAAAATTTCAAATGGAAATGTTGAGTGATTATATCTTTTAGTTTAGAAAAAAATATTTTGCTTTTTAACACTTTATACTTGAACATTTCTTTGTATATTTTGCAATTAAATAAGATGGAAAAAAATTAAATTTAACATAAAACTGTCATTTAACTTAACAAATGTGCTGAAAATTCGCTAATATTTTATTAGAATAAACATTAATAAAAACAATTCTAAAACACGCAAATTTAGAAACACCTGTTTTTGTTAATATATCTACATCACTATATTTTATTTTATTTTTTTCCTGATTTTTCAAAAAATTATGAAACAAAATTTATGGAATTCGTGTCTGTAAATATTTATTTAGTTTTTAAGGAAAAATGGGTTAAAAATGTTTATTGCTTCTCATTTATTATTACTTAATTTTAAACAAATAAATAATTGACATTATTAAACAGTGAGTCAAAGTGAATTACTTTTGCCACCGTTTTTATTTAATTATTTTGCAATACATTTAATATTTTGCAAACAAAATTATAAACTCTTCAAAAGATAAAAACTTTAAATATCTTTTGCTTATAGCATATATATTTATCTGTTTGTATATATATCATAATTTATTTATGGCATTCATAAAGGAATTGCTGCAAAAAATATTTCCTAAAGGCGTCTTCAAGTGGTCGCCGGTTCTGTTGTTTGGTTCATTAGTGAAGTGTCGTAAATGAGAGCAAGAGTCGAAATATTTCTGAATTGTTTACAGAAAACATTTAACTTTTTTTCCATTTATTTAAAAAACTTTGTTTTGGCAATTCATTATTTACAAAATTATAAATAAACATGACGT